CGCCAGTCCCAGTCCCGTGCCTAGTGTCGTGCGAGGGAGTTTTGTTGTACAGTTGTAGGTAGGTAGGTAGATAGAAAGGTGAATGAAGAACAGCCAGGCTCGGACTGGACACCAACGCGGTATGGGTGGACGCTGGACAGATGATGACGACACGCACGAGCGACTCACAGACACAAACAAGCTCACAAGACACACAGCCAGCTGGCTGCCACACACCCTGAGTTGGCGTACACATAACTCAGTCAGGGCCACATTCTTCCTGTCGCCCCCCCCAGCACTCCAAGGTGCCAAGAGAAACAAACAAGGGCACAACATCACAACAGACGACAGGAGTAACATGCGAGCTAGAGCAGCTTGCTCCACCTCTAGCGATCTCGCCGGCCGGCGAGGCACGGACGAGACCGTGTGTGGGGTCTAGTGAGGTGTCTATAAATAAATAAATAGAGCAGACATCTCCAGGAGAGATGGGCGACGCACGAACACAGAGGGACAGTGCGCACCCCGCCCCGCTCGCAGGGCGTGCAGCACACAGCAACACAAGACATATCTAGGCGCTGTGCGCCTCCTCGGGATTTCTAGCAGAAAGAATTTAAAGAAGAAAGAAAGAAAGAAAACAGACACGCCAAGGGAGGGATGGGAGGACGGCACGCCGCCACCACACAGGGATTTTAAGAAGAGGGGTGTGGTGCGCTAGCCGTCGCCCACCCTTGGGCGTCCGGGATTTCTATGGACGCCCTCCTCCGACTTGGAGCACTTGGACTTGTAAAATAGTTAGAGGCTGCGCAGGCCGTCCCGTTTGCTGTTTGAAACGCCTGTTGCGCTGGCCGCTGCGCGCGCGCGCTAATGGTTGGGTAGTAGGGGTAGAGGGTTGCCCAAAACTTAGACCTGCTCGCAGGCGAGCGCTGAACTAAGCCCCCGGAAGGAGACGGGCTCTCAAACTTAGACGCTGGTGATCGGACTCACGAACTTAGACGACACGAGGTGGCCAGTTCCGGGTCTCTGCAGGAGCCCCCCCCCCCCCCGGGCGCCCAGCCACAGCCCAGCCAGGCCGCCCGGTCCGGCCCGCGGTCTGCTAAATAAAAAGTGTCAACCCTGGATATTTTGCACATGGGTCAAAAAGCTACAAGCGCCGTCGCCAGTTGCCGCGCATCGAGCCGCGCACGACCTCCTCTCCGCCTCTCCGTGCGCAAGTTGCGACGGCGCACGCCCGCCGCAGGCGAAGAAAATTTTGAGGCAACCCTAATGATCACGGCCGACTTAGCCCGCATAAGAGGCTCCCGCCGATCTTAGACCGCGTAAGCACCCCAGCGTGACCGGTCACACTTAGACCCGTTAAGCCTCGAGGCTCAGAACTTAGCCTACTACCCAACCAGTCGCGCGCTGGGCGGCCGCTGCCGGGGCTCTGTCTCACTCTCACGTGCCGCAATATGTGTCACACACGGCGGCTTCTGCCACCTCTCGATTGGTTCTACTTTCTACGCACACCTACCGGGGAAGGGGCGCTTGGGAGCGGGGGCGGGGGCGGGGGCGGGGGCGCGCAGCGCGGCTGCGCGGCGCGCGCAACAGAGGGTAGGGTGGGGAAGACGGCGAGGAGGGGGCGGCGGCGGCGGCGGCGGCGGCAGCGCGCGCGCGGCGCGCGCGACGGGGGGGCGGAGCAGCGACCGCTGGCGCGGCCGCTGCTCCGTCTGTGCCAGGGACGCGCGCTCTGCGCCGCTGCAGAGCGCGCGCGTCAGGGCAAGGGGCATGCGTGGCGGCGCGGGACGCGCGGCGGCGGCGGCGAGCACGCTCCGTGAGCGGTGAGGCGGCCGGGAGAGGGCGCGGCGGGTGACGGGTCTAGGGAGCAGCCCACACCCGGCGTCGCTTTTTGAGCGACGCCTGTGGTACGCCTGCGCAGGGGCCGCAGGGCGGTCAGTTGTGGGGCGAGGCGGTGCCGGCCGCGGGCCGGGTGCAAGGCGCCGGCCTCGGCGCCGCCTCGGCGCGCCGCACGGGCGCGGCGAGCCTCTGAGCGGGAGCCGAAGGTTTGCCGTGGTGGGAGGTGGTAGGGAGGCGGTGGTGGTGGGGTGATTTGACTTTGCCGCAGAGGCCGTCCCTAGCTGTGAACAGCAAAACGGGACAGTATTCTTCCCACAGTTTCGCTCGACGGGACGCTGGAGAGCTCGGCGCGTGCTGTGCTCACCAGTGCCCACCAAAGCGTGGGAAACCTGTGTTTGTGCCTCGAGCGCCACGATCGTCCTAAAACTGCGTCCGCCAGTCCGAAGCCGGCGCCCCGGCCAGGCTCGCGGCCCGGCCATCGGTCTTCATGTCCGTAGTCTTCACACCGCTGCTCACCGCGGCTGTGGCGCCCGCGGCGTGGCGCCTTCTCCAGGGCGTCCCCGCTGAGGTGGCGCTAGGAGCGAGCGGCTCGCTCCAGGGAGCGCCACCCTGCCTCGCCACGTTGGAAAAGGTGGGCAAGGGCCACGCTGCGGCGTGGCGGCTCGCGGACTTCCGTACTGTGGAGACCGGCATGCAGGCCCGCCTCGCGCTGGACCGCAACCCCGCCGAGCCGTGCTGCAAGCTCATGTTTGTCGGCGGTCGCAGCGGTCAGCGCGAGAAGCTCGGCCACATGCTGCTCGCGTGCGACGAGGATGGCTCCGCGCTTCGCGGCATGCGGATCCGAGAGGACCTCCGCGGACGTGGGCTGTCCAAGCTGCTGCTGGCGGTGTGGCTGCGCCTGTGCCTCGAGGCGGGACTCACGCCGCGCACGCGCACCATCAACAAGCCGCTCCTCTCCCTCTCGCTCGCGGCCTTTGGCTTCGCGCCCACCAACCAGCGAGGCATGCTCGTGCGCGTCTCCGCCGCCAAGCGCGCGCGCGACTGCGTCCGCAGCACCTCGGCGCACGCGCCTGGCAGGACCGCCTATATCCGCACCGCCTTTGAGGTCCTTTCCGCTGCCCCACGCCGCCGCCTACAGCACTAGTGCATCAGCTCCGTCCCACCCACACGCGCAGGCGCCCGACGCGGCCACGCTCCGCGCCGCCGTCGACCGGCAGCTTCGGCATGGCAACCTCGAGCTGGGCGTGCCGCCTGCGGCGCTGCGACGTGCGCTCACGCTGAGAGGAGGCTGTGGCGCCTGCACGCCAAAGCGCCGTGGTCGTCGACGGCCGCTTCCCTGTTGAGAATTTAGCTACACTGTGCATTTCGGGTTTGCATCGTCGTCCCGCGACAGCCGACACAAATCTGAATGATGATTGGGAGAGCCACATGACAACGCGCGCACACCCACACGACCACTCAACCAGGATCCTGCACACGAGCGTCTAAACACTAAAGCCGTGTTTAAAGCCGTAACCCCGTGTGGGGCGGCCCCTGGCGCGTGCGGGACCCCCGTGGCGCGTGGGTGCCGCGTGGGGGCGGGCTGGGCCTGGGGCGTGGCGTCCGTGGCCGTGGGGATCTGTGGGGGTCCGCCGTGCCACCGTGGCCTGACGACGCGGCTACGCGCACGCACTTGCGCACGCGCGGCTCTAAGGTCTAACCATTGTCATGTGTCAGCCCCTTGGAGTGTGAAGGCTTCGTAGCCCTCCGGTGAAGATCCGCAGGACTGGCTCGTGGCTGGAGCGAAAAAAAGGAAGCGAGTCGTCATGTGTACGAGCTCGGGCGGGGTGCGACAGCGCCACTACCCACCTAGGTGGGCAGTAGGAGGTAGGACACCGCAAAGCTGAGTCCGAGCGAGTGTGGGGGGGGCTAGCAGCGGCCCGGTGGTGGCCGTCGATAAAACGGACGGCGTGCGTCCCTCCCACGAGCCCCGACAGAGGTGACCACCCATCCCCAGGCAAGTAGAGCACTTGTCTAGCTCGGAGAGAGCAGGGGTATGGGGCGGGAGCCAGGGGACAGCACAATGCCGACTTCACATGGAAGGCGATCCGACACTTCAAGGCGAACTCCCCCTCCTTCACTTCCAGGCCCCGGCCTTCCATTGTCTTAGGACTCCTAACACGCTTGCGTGGGATTCTAGCGTGGGATGCCCAAAGGGGTACGGGGGAGGGGGGGGAGAGTAGTAGTGTCGTTCTTTGCCGAAAAAGCAATTTTTTTTCGTGAAAGCTGAAACCGAGCGCGAGGCGTGTGTGGATACTACGAAATGCATATGTCGTTCCGGTATGATACATGCGACACAGAGTTATGCCCCTCCCCATTACGGGGGCATGGGGGGGGCAACACATAAACCCCGGAGACGATCGCGCGGGGGTTGCCCCCCCCCCCCCCCCCGCAGTCCTCAGTGGCACTGGCAATGGCCACCTTCCAGGTTCGGCTCGCCCGAGAACCAGCATCCGATCTGTTTCGAGTCGCGGCTGCCGCTGCAGTGGGCGGTTGAGGGGCCGCAGGTGCTGCAGCGGTGGGTAGAGCTGCCCGAGGAGGGGGAGCACGGATCGCCGGCGCAAGTGTAGCAGTCGCACGTTCGCGATGAGCCCGTCAGTCTGAACTTTGGGCCGACGCTGACGGTAACTGGAGGCTTGAAGTTGTCCACCCACCCGAGGAGACCGGAGGTGGCGTCCTCGGCCGCATCGCCGGTGAAGCCCACCGGAGCCTTCGGTCTGCCGTATCGGTCGGCGCACTGCCCCAGCCGCGCGTCCCGGCAGCGGTCGCCCGCGCCGCAGCAGGTTGGCCCGCAGTCGACCGTCTCGTAGCCGCAGCCGCTCTCCCGGGAGGCGCTGCCCCAGACCGGGTGAGGCGCAACGGGCGACCGCTCTCCCGTCCACGCGGCATCCCAAGCCGCGTCCCGCCGCGGAGGGTAGTCGTCACGGTCGTCACGAAAGCCGACCGGCGGTGGCGGCGGCGAGGGCGGCGGCGAGGGAGGAGGTGGAGGTGGTGGAGGAGACGGCGGCAACAGCGCCCGGTCGTTGCCAGCATAGTCATTCTGTCCACCATAGTACTGGCCGCCGCCGTACGAGCTGTAGTAGTTGTATGCGCCCTGCTGCTGCTGCTCTGCGCCCTGAGGGGCAAATTCCGCGACCGCACCTCCCTGCTGACCCTTGGCTGCACTGATGGCAGCAGCAGCAGCCTCGTCGCCGACCCCCACTGTGACGGGAACGTTTGTGTTGACGTTAACCTCGAGAGCGGTGAAGAACGCATCCCAGTCGAGGCGGCGGCCAGAGTGGCCGCTAGCTTCGTCACGCGGGACAGGGGCGGCCAGAGTGGCGGCTAGGAACAACATTTTCTCCACCCCCAAGGTATCCCAAGGAAGTGACCAGCGCCTGAAGTCGTCGGGTCCGAAAGAAGAATCCGAAGCTAAACGGACACAGCTCCTATCCGCTCCCCGCTCCCGTTCCCCTGTGTCCCTGATCGTCCTACAAGATCCTGCTTGTGCAGGTGGGGACCCTGTCCTTCTCCCACCCCTCGTTTGGCGTGTGCGTTGTATTTATTTATTTATTTATTCCTATCTGCCCGGAGCCAAACCCTAGGCCGCTTTGTGTATCTCGAGACCTAGAGAGAAGACCGCCTGCGGAGCGCCAAGTCAGAATTTCTTTTGGCGGCTGAAAGAAAGAAAACAAGCGAGAACGAGGGATGGGGGAGGAGGACAGGGTCCATACCTGCACGAGAGCAGGATTTTGGAAGGACGATCTTTGAGAGAGAGAGAGATTTGTTTTGTATTATAAAATGAACTCGGGGGCACGGGACGCGGCACGAACGGGGCACAAACGCCAGGCTACAAAGACGGGGAGGCACGTAGTGACGCAGGGGAGTCTAGGCGACGGCGGCGTCCTCCGACGCCGCGGCGAGCCTGAGCTCGGTCGCAATCTCTTCCGCATTTGTTTTGTATCTTTGACGAAGGAAAAAAGAAAAAAAGAAACAGAGAACCCAAAGGAGGGATGGGAGAAAGAAAGAAAGAAACCAAAAACCCCAAATTCTTTTGCCCTGTGTCGAACCTGTGTGCTCCGGCAGAGAATTCTTTTCGTTGAATTCTTTTGGCGGGCAAGCCAACCTAGCGTGCGAACTGGCTTTCGGTCGCACACGGCAGTCCGACACGGCTCTTCGGCGTGAGCTCGCCGATGAGGCTCCTGCCTGCGCTGTTTGCGCCCGCTGTGCTTGCCTCGTGGCACCACACTTCTCTGGCGCCGAGCGCTCGCCGCCACCTCCCGACGAGAGCAGCACGTCTCTCCACCCGCCGAGCGCCCGGCGTCCGCTGCGCCGCTGATTTAAGGAGGAGAATCGCAGACGCGCTCTCCGGGTCGCAGCAGGCGGCGGTGCCCGACGTCGGCGGTCCCGACGTCTTTGCGGAGATGGAGGCGGGCACCGAGCTCTGCCTGCTCCCTTTCTACCAGGACGACGCGGTGCAGCCTGCCGGCGACGCGGCCTCGGCAGAGCGGTTCCGGCTCCTGCTCACGGCGTGGCCTCTCCTCGCGCCGGTGGTGGCCTTCTTCACCTACGAGTGGGTGCGCGACGTCTTCCACGCGCTGATCGCCAGCGCGCGCACGTGGTACTCTGCGCCGGCGGAGGAGGCAGAGAGGCTGCCTGAAGCTTCTCTGACCGCGACTCCGAGCGGTCCTAGGTACTCTGTCGACGGGGGCGCGACTGAGATCGCGCTCATCACCCCAGTCATCAACGGCGTCGTCAACCCGGCGGTGTCTGTCGTGCTCGGCACGCTCATCGCCGCGACGCTCAACCAGCTGCGGATGCGGCAGGTCGCATCTCGGCCACTCTCGGTCTGAGGCGCGTGAGCAGCGTCTCTTCACACCTTCAGCCGTGGACAGGTCAACATCAGGACCTGCCTCAACCGCGAGGCGTGCGGCATTCGGGCGCTCGAGCGTGCCGTCAACCTCATCTACTCGGAGCCGCGCGACGCGGAGACGAGACGCAAACTGCTCGCGGCGATGCGGCAATACACGTCGAGGCTCATCATCGAGACGCGAGGCAGCTGGCGCGCGTCCGTCTCGCCGACCACGGAGTCGGAGCTCGACGCAATGATGGAGGCGGTGGCGCGCTCGCCAAAGCCGTCCGCCGCGCTGGCGCAGACGTCTCGTTTCTACGAGCCCGCGCTCTTCGCGCTGCCCTCGATGATGCAGGACCTCAACAACCACCGCTCGCAGCGCCTCAGCGAGCAGCAGTCCGCCTACCCGGCCGTGCACTGGCTGATCCTCTCGCTGCTCGGCCTCTCCGTGCTAGTCTCCTTTCTCATCGAGTCCGACGAGGCGACGGTGCAGTTCCTCGACTCGCTGCAGCTGCGGCTGCTGTACACCATCCTCTGGGGCGTCGCCGCCGCCGCCTCCTCCCTCTGCGCCGACCTCAACGACCCGTTTCGCGGAAACTTCCGCATCACGCCGTCCGCCGACCAGCTCTACGTCATCCGAGAGACGCTCACCGAAGAGATCTGCTCCGAGTTATTCGACTCGAGCGCGGCGATCGCCGCCGCTGCCGCCGCCGCCGCCGCCGAGGAGCGCCACGTCGAGCAGCAGCCGGAGGGGGCGCCCGGGCGGCCAAACGCGCGAACACCGGGCGGCGGGTCCGGCTGATATCCCATCAGCCGCATTATGGACTGGGCTCTGGGCAGAGTACTTTATTCCCCGCCTGGGACGAAAGAAAAGGTTTCCCGGTGCTCTCGGCTCGCACATCGCCACATCAGTGGACTGGACTCTGGAGAGTAGTAAATGTAAAAAACTAAAATGAAAAACGTCGCTCGCCAAGCATCGAGTTCGAGACGAGCGAGAGCGGCGCGACCGCGACGGATGCGAGAGATAGTATGGCCAGATAGCTTACGGAGCCGTATAGTCAAGTGGATAGTCCTCTACTTGTTGTCCGACGGCAAAAAAGCATGAGCAAGAGAAAAAGAGGCAGCAATCAGCTAGCAGAAGGTCGCGTTCTGCGCCAGCTTGGCCAGACCTCCGAGCGAGGTCTCCTTGTACTTCGGCTTCATGTCCTGCCCCGTCTTCCACATGACCTCGATGACTGTATCCAGCGAGATTACC